ATATAAAATGCAAAAATCTTGCTTCTGCTCAAAAAAACCTTCAGACTGATGCTAGCATTGTAGCTCTTTGTGTATCATCATTGTAGCTCTTTGTGTTAGTAGGAGAGGAGGATTCCTGTCTTAAGCACCTCATTTTTAGCAACCCCAGGCATCTCTCTGCCAAAAGGCCTAAATCGGCCTCCAAGAACAACCTTAGTTGGATATAAAATGCAAAAATCTTGCTTCTGCTCAAAAAAACCTTCAGACTGATGCTAGCATTGTAGCTCTTTGTGTATCATCATTGTAGCTCTTTGTGTTAGTAGGAGAGGAGGATTCCTGTCTTAAGCACCTCATTTTTAGCAACCCCAGGCATCTCTCTGCCAAAAGGCCTAAATCGGCCTCCAAGAACAACCTTAGTTGGGGTTCAGTGTTTCTCTTGTATTTCTCAGCCTGTCTCCTAATGCTGATATGCTTTTAGGGAGAGGAGGTGGTCCCCGTGATCAAGGCGAACATCATGCCACACTATGGCGTGCCTTTCAAACCTAAAGCACCTGAGCAAAGGCATGTGGAAGTATGTCCCTTTTCTTTTGACTCACGTGACCGAGAGCGGTGGCTTCAAAAGGAGAAAAAAATAGAAGAGCTGCAGAAAGAGGAGGTAAGTGCTGGGGAACTTCTTGGATTGTTTCAAACTCTCTTGCCTACTGTGGGGCTTCATGTCCAAAACTGCTCGTGGCTGGCCAGATCGTACACCTTTTGGAAACCTACTTGTAGGGCCCTACCAAATTCACAGCTATGAAAAACACATGGACCATGAAATCTGGTCTCTTGATACAGTATAGGGCACTGGTTCTCAGACTGCTTGGTTTGTGGCCCACCCCTTCAACAATTCTTTCAGCAGACCACCAGCCAGCTACCTATGACAAATCATGCGGGTAGAGGAGCTTGCCCACAGGAGTGGGCTGAGGGTTATGGAGGAGTGTTAGTGGGAGGGAGTGCAGGTGTGGGGTAGAGATGCAGGCTAGTGGGAGGGGATGCAGGTGTTGGGTAGAGATGCAGGCTAGTGGCAAGAGGGGCATGGGAATACTTACCTGGTTCGGTACCTCCTGCTGCTCCCAGGTATCACCAATGCTCATCCCATTGGCTGTGATTCCAGCCAATAGAAGCAACAGAGAATGCATGTAGGTGAACTGTTTCCTGTCTGCTGTTCTCCCCTGCTCCCCAGCCGACGGGGGGGACGGACAGCAGAGTGCAGAGCTGCTTCCTTCCCTTGCAAGCTGGATCTAGCCTGTGAGGCTCAGTCCCCCTCTGCAGCAGAAGGCCAGCACTGTTGCTCCTACTTTGGGGCTGGAGCACCACCACAGGCTCCCCTTTGCAGGGGCACAAGCTCTGTGTCTGCAAGACAGTAGTGGTCTGCAGCCCCACACTGAACCACTGGCATAGCGTGAAAGCATCCAATTTTGCAGGGAAGACCCCAGTTTCTCAAATGGGGGTCCTATCCCAAAGGAAGTTGCAGGGGGTCTCAAGGTTATTTTTGAGGGTATTCTGGTATTTCCCTGCTTATTTCTGCACTGCCTTTAAAGCTGGGTGGCCAGAGCAGTGGCTCTAAAGGCAGTGCCCTGCCAGCAGCACAAAACTAGGGATGGGAATACTATACTATGCCATGCCAACCATCCTCCTGAGCTGTTGCTTTCGGCTGGGTGGCTGGGGAGTGGCAGCTGCTACTGAGGGCTCAGCTCAGCAGTAAGGGTACAATACCATGCCATCCTTCTGGACTCCCAGCTCAGCACAGAAGTAAGGGTTGCAGTGCTTCCCCCCCCCCCCCACAATAGCCTTGTGAAGCCCCCCCCACAGACAAGGCTCCTTTTTTTGCATCAGAACCCCAATACTTAAAACATCATGAAATGTGCTATTTATACTCTTAAAATCCCATGATGGAAATTGACCAGAATGGACCATGAACTTGGATTTCAAGAGTGCTAAAGAATCAGTGAGATTTTTCTCTTCCCCCTCCCCCAATGGTTCTCTAGGGAATATCTTTACTCTAGAACTGGGGGGCATGCCTCCCTGGGAGCATGAAGAAATTCCAGGGGAGGGGGATGCAAGGCAACCCAGCTCCAGTCAAGCCCACCCCAAGTTTTGCTGCAACTTTTTTCAGCCCTGGTCAGTTGCTTTTTTGCTCGAGTTCTGCTGCTATTTTTTGTGGGGTGCCCCTGAGGGTTTCCTCATCAAAGGGGGTGATGCTGAAGTTTGGGAACCACTGCTCTAGAAAGTTTTCCTGTGATGGTCGCTTCCCTTA